TTATATTGACAACTTTCATGCAAAATAAAATATCTCTATTTTTTAGGTTATGGTTATTTCTTTCATAAAATAAAATAAATTACATGAAATTTTAAATATCTCATATTGATACATGACATTGTATTATTTATTTTTGTAGCTTTTTAAAGTCAAAGAAATTATGGATGATGTATTATATAAAGAATTGAAATTTATTATTGAAAAGTATGACATTATTCAATTTAATTATTTATTAATTCTGATATATGTTTTAGTTATGTTAATGTTAACTAAAAGTAATAGCAGAATGACATTTAATTTCTATCATAAATTGCAAGGAACATAAAAATCGTCATGAAGTGGAATCTTTATTTGGTATTCCTATTAAGAAAATTTTATGATAGTAAAACATCATATTGTGTAAAATTATTTATATAATTATATGCCAACAAATGAATTCATTCCATATATGAGTTATTTTAAATTTTAAGATAATACATATATAGAGGCACGAAGTGCCTCGGCCCCACTAGTATCAATAATATTTTTAGTATATTTATAGATAAACTAATAATTTGATAAATATGACTTAGTATATATTAATAATTTATCTATAAATATACTAATAATATTATTGATATTAATTTATTAGTAATATTATAAAAATAATAATATATAAATTTTATTTATTTAGTAATAATAAATATATATCATTTGATACATTAATGAAAATTATAGTATACGTTAACTTGAATAGACAAATAATTGTATAATTTTAAAATATTATATATATATATATACACTAAATTTTTAATGAGAAAGATTAAAATTGTACAATTATAATATTTGAAGGACTAAAATTGTTCAATTAAAAATTGAAGGAACAAAATCGAATAATTGTAATCCTTTAGAGACTAAAATTACCCAATTAAAATCTTGGGATCAAAATTGCACAATTACAATACTTGAGGGATAAAAATACAATTAAACTTATTAAAATTAATAGAAATCAATTTTCAAAATATACTAAAATTTTAAAAATATAAAAATATTATATATAATTATCTTATTTATATGAAATAATAAACACATTACTTTATTAAATTGTTCACCTAAAAATAATATAAATATCTTGATTAAAAATATTATTTATTACTTTAATTAATTAGATATAGTAATAAAGACTAAAAAAAACACTAAAAATATTAACAATTTAAAACTGACATTTTTTTTACAAAGACTAAAAATAAGACAAATGCTCAGAATTTTTTTTTTATTTGCATGATTTTAAAACATGAAAAAAATAGAAAACGTTTGTGGACCACACTACTATTTTTATGCCTAGAATAATTAGAATTCCCATTTAAATTATATTTTTTGACTGAAAAAGTCTTTAAAATATTACTACACTTCTATTCCCATTTTCAACAAAACGATATTTGTTAATTCTTTAATTATCCTCTTTAATTACTAATATGTTTAATTAGAATATCTATCACACACATATGAGATACTTTTTTAATATCTATCTTAAGAAATATAAGCATCAAATTTAAACATTATATTACCGTATTAAAATTTATGTTTAAACAAGTTCTTATTTTCCTACAGCATAGAATTATTTTCATTTAGGATATTTTTTCTTGTCTTGTTTTGGTGTTTATAGTTATTTGTTTCAATTTAGTCATTATTATAGTTCTTACTACAAAATTATATATATATATATTAATTAGAAGTCTCTCTTTTTTTCTTCTAAGACAAAGATCTTTCTTTTTATTTTATATTTGTACTGTAAGAAGAAAAAAAATTATATTTGAAGTTGTTCAGTTCTGCAACATAACAATTAGCATTGATATTGCTGTACAAATATGATCTTTTTGTCAGCATCTTCAGTTCAATGCAGTCTGCGTTGAGATCCTTTGAAGACTTTTTTGACCCTTCTCCATTATTATTCACTTTCTTATTGGCGCCACTTTTACTTATTTAGAAACTGCATTCTCTGTCTCCTTCATCTCCCTCGTTTTCTTCCACTTCTTTCTACCACCGCTTTTTGCACTCTTTTTTTTTTTTTTTTTTTTTTTTTTTTTCTTATTCACTCGATTAGCTTCTTTAGATTGCCCCAAAATCACGTTATCTGTTTGTTCATTTCACCAACGAGGTGTTTTCCTTTTCTTCAGTTATAAACATTAAATGGGAGAGTTAAGTTTTCATTGCAATCTGGGTTGATCAGTTTGGACTTGAGAGGAAACTAAAAAAGAAAAAGAAGCAATCTTGCGTGGTGGGGTTGATCCTGTTGTTTAAAAAAAGTTTTTTTTGTTTTTGGTTTTTAATTACCTTTGTTGTTCGAAATGTATCAGGGTGTTCCTGTTGCCTGCAGGACCCGTAGCAAGAGAAGGGTAGTTGGGAGTGGTTTGAGAATGAGAGTGAAGAGGAGAAAGGTGGATGGACGTGTTGTTGATTTGATTTGTTTGGATGATGAAGAGGGTCCAAGTGAGAAAATTGAATTGGGGTGTGGCGCTTTATCTTCATCCGGTGATTTACTCGAGGAGGGTTTTGAGTATTTGGGAGAGAGTGATGATGATCCTGAAGAGGTGATTGTTGTTGGTGACAGTGATGTTGGGAGTGATGAGGAAAAGGGGTTGAGGCATTGTGAGAAGATGTTTGAGGGTAAAGAAGAAAAGGAGTGTAAAGAGGAAAAGGTTAACTTTGAGGATGATGAGTACGGTGGTAGACGTGAAAAACCGGTTGTAATGACGCGAAATAGTGAGAGTGAGGGTGAAAGTTGTGGTTCAGATGAAAGTGATAGTGAGGATGGGGAAACCAGTGATGAGGATTTTCGGGTTGATGATGATGGGGTGGAGATTGAATGCTCGAGCAGTGAGGAGAGTGATTCTTCTTGTGGTGATGATGATGATGAAGATGAGGATGATGAGGATGATAGTGATGATAATGATAATGATGATGATGATGAGAGGGGGGAATACAACAAGATAGTGAAGGAGAGGGTGAGTAAGGTGGAAAGTGGATCTGAAAGTGTTGGGATAGAAACAAAATCTGACACAAATCAAATGCAAAATAACTCATCAGAAAAGATGGTGAAGGAGAGGGTGAGAAACGTGGAGAGTGCAACTGAAGGCAGTGGAGTTTGGAGAAGAAGAAAAGTTGAAAGGAAAGATAATGAGCAGGTAGATGAGGAGGAAGAGCGAGAGGAATGGATTGGTCCTGATTGTGCTAGTGCGACCTCTTGTAAATCTGCGTTTGCTAAGGAGGAGAGACTGAAAGCAGAAGAGAAGCATGAAGCAAAGAGAGTTGAAAGTGTCAGTGCTGATGCTGAAGTCTTTGTTGATCACTTTCAAAATTCTAGTAGTTCAACGCCTTCCGAGAATGAAGCACTAAATACAAGTCACCAAAGTGTGTCACTGCAGAAAGAGACCGGAGATTCAGCTGTGGCCAAGAAGAGTGAGAAGAATGATAATGTCCATGCCAATGCTAGTGTCTCTGTCGATATTGAAGAACATGATTCGGAGCCTGAAAGGGAGATTGATATGTTGTGGGACGAAATGGATAGGATGCTTCGAGATGGAGAAACTGAGATAGGAGATCCACCTGTGGTCAAGAAGAGAAATAAAAATAATAATGCCAATCCCAATGCCAATGTACATGACTGCTTGAATCTTGATGAACATGAAGGAAAAGGGCATAATCATGCCAGAAGAAAAGGTGTGAGAAATTTATCATCTTTTCAAAAAATCCAAGATAAGATAGGATATTCAGCTGAATATGTAATCAAGGAGGACAAGGGAAGGGCGCACAAAGAATGGTTTAATAGTCATAATCGTGAGAAGTTAAGAGTGGTGGATGATGACGAAACTAGAGACAGATATCATGAAATCCTAAGGATGCCATCAAGAACAAAGGACCAAGGTTTTAAATTCTTTACTGAATGCTTTTGGGGCAAGCATGATACTGTTAAAAATGATTCAATCGAGTTCGAAGAAAATGATCATGATGTTGGTCAGAGTCAAACTCCCCCATTAGTTTGTCGGGGTGAAATTCCCTTGAATTGGGACTTTATGAAAGAAGAACCTATTGAAAAAACAGAGTCTGAGAAGGAACTAGATATGTTGTGGGGTGAAATGGATATGTTGCTTCGAGCAGAAGAAATTGGGTTACAGGTAACTCTTTTTACTAACCGAAAGGCTAGTTATAGTCATTATATGCTAAGAAGACTTAAATTTTAAGTTTGTATTCTTATGTGCATGAGTGAAGTGGTGCTTAAGAAGGAACTAGTGGACTAGTGGTAGCATGTGAATTTGAATATTTGAACTGTTCTGAATTCTTTATGAATGGATAGATGTTCAAACAAATTGGCAACTAACTTTGTATGTTATGATTTATAGGTTGGTAATATAGGGACAAATGAAGCAAGCGAAAATCCAGCCTCCCATTGCAAGCATGACACTATTTTTAATGAGGAGATTGGGATATATTGCAGATGGTGTGGTTGGATAGCTACGGAGATCAAATATATTACGCCACCATTTGTAAGCCTTGTTTGAAATTGATGATAATTTATAGAAAACTAATTTGCTTAAGTTTAGAATGTTGAGGAGACTTTGTCATTGCCATAGTCAGTTTCTTTTCACTTATGAACTCAGGCATAAAGGTTGATATAACTATGATGCTCACTCACTATTGTTTAGTATTTATGTGTTTTTTTCTCGTGCTAAAAGTAAAACAGTGATTGACTGCTGTGGGAACCATAGATTTTAAATATATATTGGCTAATGTGTTTGGTTTAATTGTCATGCTTAATGAAATGTTATGATAGGATGTACTAATAATGTATGTGTACTTGTTTGCATTTTGCATGATACAGGTGGATTCTGAAAGATCAGGTAGAAAGGGGTCAAACGGTGGAGCGAACACCCCACAATTTGATGGGGATCTGTTTAATGGTTCTGGAAATGACTCAAAGGCAGTGTGGTCTCACGGCACAGTTTGGGACCTTATTCCTGATATAAGACAAAGCTTGTATCCTCATCAACAAGAAGGGTTTGAGTTCATTTGGAAAAACTTGGATGGAAGCATTGACCTTGCCAAGATAAAGAGGGTTGGCCCGCCTTGTGAAGGTGGATGCATTATTTCTCATGCTCCTGGAACAGGAAAGACAAGGTTGACCATGGTGTTTCTTCAGACATATTTGCAAGTGTTTCCAAAGTGTCTACCTGTTATCATTGCTCCTGCTAACATATTGCTTACTTGGGAAGATGAGTTGAGGAAGTGGAACATAGGAATTCCATTCCATAACCTGAACAATGCTGATTTATCAGGAAAAGAATATGCCATAAATAAAATTGACTGGTCTGGCAATCAACAGCATAATAAGGATACCATACGAATGATGAAGTTGTGTTCATGGTACAAAGAAAAGAGCATTCTATTAATCAGCTACAATTTGTATGAAAAGCTAGCAGGGGGAAAGTCTGAAGCTGATGGTGAAAAAGATAAGAAAAATAGGAAGATGAAAAAAGAGAAAAGTGCAGGGACTAGGGAGCACATTGAAAAAAATGCTTTGGGAGAGGTTCTGCGTGACAAACCTGGTTTGCTAATTCTTGATGAAGGGCACACACCAAGGAATCATCGTAGTTGCATTTGGAAGGTTCTATCAGAAAGTAGAACTCAGAAGCGAATCCTTCTCTCTGGGACACCTTTCCAGAACAATTTTATGGAACTTTACAATATTTTGTGTTTAATGAAACCATCCTTTCCTGACAGCATACCCCAAGAACTCAAGAAGTTTTGTCAAAGTAGACTAATGCATGACAGACAAGCTTCAAAAGATGTGAATTGGGAACCCGCTACTTCTGGAAATCCAGCTGATGAGAAAATAAACCAGCTAAAAATGCTGATGACTCCCTTTGTTAATGTTCACAAAGGTAGCATTCTTCAGAAGAACCTTCCTGGCTTGAGAGATTGTGTGCTGGTTTTGCAGCCAGATGGTTTCCAGCAACAAATGTTGGAGAGCATTGAATGTTCTCAAAATGGACTGAACTTTGAACACAAGTTGGCCTTGGTCTCAGTCCATCCATCCCTTTTCCTCAACTGCTCTCTGTCAGAAAAAGAAGAAGCTGTCATTGACAAGGATCGGTTGGAAAAGCTTAGGCCAAAACCTTATGGAGGGGTGAAAACCAAGTTTTTGATGGAGTTTGTAAAACTTTGTGATGCAGTTGATGAGAAAGTCCTTGTTTTCAGCCAATTCATTGATACCTTGTGCTTAATTAAGGAGCATCTTGAATCCACCTTTAATTGGTCTGTGGGCACGGAAGTGTTGTATATGTATGGCAAGGTTGACCAAAAGCAAAAACAGTCCCTCATTCATAGCTTCAATGATGCAAATAGCCAAGCAAAGGTGTTGCTTGCTTCTATAAAAGCATGTTCTGAAGGCATTAACTTAACTGGAGCTTCAAGGGTTGTGCTTGTTGATGTTGTTTGGAACCCCTCAGTTGAAAGGCAAGCTATTTGCCGTGCATATAGACTAGGGCAAAAGAGGGTTGTTTACACTTACCATCTTCTTGCACAGGACACCCCTGAATTCACCAAGTATTGTAAACAAGCACAAAAGGACCGGTTATCTGAACTGGTTTTCTCAAATAAAAATGCTGAAAGTGATAAGGTCAAGAGTTGTGGAGTAGAGTTTGAGGATAAGGTTCTTGATATCATGCTTCAGCATAAAAATCTTAAGGACATGTTTGCTGAATGTTTGCTACAACCAAAGGACAGAGATTTGGAAACTGGCCCCCTAATGCTCTGATTATTTAATTTACGTAAAGTTATATATGATTCAATCATATTTTTTGTTTAGGACAGAAAAATGTTGACGGCAAGAACTACTGCTAATGGTTGAATACAGAAGTTCATTAATGACTAAAGTCTTTGATCATGCAGGTGTCATTATGATTGTTGCCAAAAAATGAATAAAATTCTAGAATTTTTTCGATTTATATCTGAATTATATTTTTTGTTCTGTTTTGCTTGTATATACCAGTTAACTGTTGGAATAACTCTGGACAACGAGTACAGTACGGGTACATGGCAGTTGAAATTTTTCTACTTTTATAATTAAATATTTTAAAATTTTTATACTTTTTTATTTTCCTTATAAATTTGGTTAAAAATTGTTTATGTTAAAAAAAAAAAAATTATACAGGTAAATGATGTTTGCTTGTTAACTTAATTATATTTTATTGTTTGTTTTACTCAATCACGAATTAATCATTTTTAGTATTTAAATACTTGTCATAAATATTTTTAATGTGTGTAAAGTTAAATCTATAATTTAAATATATTAAATCACTTTTTGTGTAAAATTGTAAATTTTCTACTCTAAACCTATTATATTTGTTTTGATTTAAATATGTTTTTAGTTCCTCAAATTTAAAATTGTTATTTTTAATCCTTATAATTTTTAAAAATATTATTTTAATCTTTCAAATCACTAACAACATATCTGAAAGTGACAAATTAAGATGATTATGCAATATCAATTAAATTTAGTGATATTTTTACTAAAAGGGATACTAATAAATAAATTTTATGTAATAATATTTGATAAATTTCTTAACATATAAAGACTAAAATATTTTTTTTTAAAAGTTACATGAATTAAAAATAATAATTTTAAATTTGAGGGACAAAAATAAATTTATCTTAAATTTAAAAGATTAAAAACATATTTAAATAATTTATTTTCACCTTTCTCTTTCATGCTCAGTTTTTGACAATAAATGCAATTGTAAATCCAATTTGTGGATTTTGAACAAGGCTTGGCCCCAGTGGAATGGTCACACTTTGTTGCTTGTGTAGCTTGAATATGTTGAGAGAGACTTAATAACTGTAGATGATACAAATGTTTATGTAGCAGTAAGTTATCTGAAGAGTTGCTTGCATCATGTGGCTCGAGATATATGAGAATAATCAAAGTGGCTATCCTTATTAACCATATAAAGTGGAAACTAAAGAAAATTGAAAACAATTTGTACTTCAATTTAAGTGGACAAGGCTCATTTTCAGATAATTTGTTGACCTGTAAACAGAATTCCCGAGTTAAAGTTGACTATCAAAAGCATGGGAAGTTGGAGAATGTTTTTCACCGGCATGTGTGGATAACATGGATTTGACAATCTCATTACATTTTGCTTGTTCCAAGATTGACCTAGAATAAGCATGCTTGTAATTCTAGATAACAAAAAAATTATAACATGACAACATAATTAGACATATAGTTACTCAAATAAAAATGATATCAAATGATCCGAAATAGTTATTTTAATATAATAATGTGTGTGTATATATATATATATATTATTAATAATTTCTTTTAAAATGATATATTAAGTTCAGATAAAAATAAATGTACATTACTAAAGATAAGAGGTTGTGAATTTTTTTTAAGAAAAAACTTTTGTTGAAGAAAAGAATCTACAAAAAACTTCCGTTGAAAAAAATGTCTAAAATTGCATTGGTTTGAGATAATTAATCTAATTTAATATAAGGTAAACAAAGCAATTACTAAAATATATTCATAAAATTATTATTTTTAATATAAATAACATAACTTATAAGTTCAAAGATGTTTATTACAAATTTTAATTATAATATAATTTATATAATTAAAATATCTATTTGTTATAAAATAATAGTTTTAGTTATATAAAAATAATTGTTCATCTTATGTTATATAGGCTAATATAATAATTATAAAAAAATAAATATGAAACACATTTATTCCCCTTCTCTCTTAATATCATATTTACTATAAAAATATATTGTTTAGATTGATAATGTCTGTAATGGATTTTGGGAGAAAATCTTGAAATGTTGATTTTAGAACCCATAACTCATTGCATGTGTTGCTTTTTTTTGAATATGTGAAATAACCTCTCCTCTTGATATAAATATCATCTCAAACAAATACTAATAAAATAACCCCATCAATGATATTAGAGTGGTTATGGTGACAACCAATAAGTTATAAATAAAAAAAAAGTGATAAGTTATAACTAAAAAAAGTGATAAATGATAATGTGATATACAAAGATAGATTTTGTTGCATGAAAGGTTAGGTCTCCCATTTGAGGAGAGGATTGTTGAGATATAAACAAGGTCTCACATCGATAAAATAAGAGAAAAATAACCTTATAAAACACACACATACTCCAATGATTGAAAGACCTTTTGGGTGATAACCAAAAGTAAAACTGTGAGAGTTTAGGCTCAAAGCAGACAATGTCTCATCATTGTGGAGCTGTGTGTGAAATAATCTTATAAAAATAATAAAGTTATAACCCTTTCCTCATGATATAAATATCCCCTCAGACAAATAGCAACAAAATAACCCTATCAGTGGTATCAGAGTTGTAGGTTGGATTCAATAACAACCAATAAGTTATAACTAAAAAAGGTTATAACACTTTCCTCTTGATATAAATATCTTCTCAGACAAATACCAACAAAATAACCCCATTAGAGGTCTCACTCAGTGAAACCCAATGAACACAATGAGGCTTCGTTGAGTGAGTGAAGCTTGCTTAGTTAGTGTAGGTCCTTGGTAGGGATGAGTGTGTCACTTAATAAGAAACGAGGTGGTTTCACTTAATGACAAATGGTATTTAAAGCTGAGGCACATTGTAGTCGCTCAACAAAGGGAGTTTCACTAAGTGATGATTGCCCTAAATTTGGGACATGTTGTGGTCGCCTAAAGATAAATCCTCACCAAGCAATGATGGGTCTCTAACTTTTAGAGGCTAGAGTGGCTCTCTTTCAACGACGAAGAGGTTTCTTATTAAGAATGTTGCTTGGGATGGCATGATGTGGTGGCTTGCTTAGCCAAGTTCGGTGGCTAAGTGAGTGTTGGCCCTTATTTAGATGGGGCATAGAGGATCACTTAATGAGTGGACCTCACTAAGCAAATGTTCCTTGTTGTGTAGTTTCTTGCTCAATGAGAAAGAGCTCACTTAGTGAAACCCCTATTTTGCTAGATGGTGATTCAAATGTTGTTGTGTTGTTTTCTTATGGCCTTGGTGGGCAAGAAAATGAGTGTTGTGATGTCCAAGGTATGAATGAAGTTGTGCTTATCCTAGTTGGGTATAAGTGGTGAGTTTCTAGATAGCCTAAAAGGCTAGGAATATGAGGTTTTTGCCTCAAGTCCTATGATGTGGGACTATAGTTGGAGGTGTTATGTTGATTAACATTTTATGTTGTTGATGTTGATGATATATGTGTGTGTGTGTTGTTGAGTTTTTGATGCATGTACAAGCCTATTATGGCTATAGATGAAATGCGTTGTTTGTGCTTTGTTGCATACTATTGAGAGTGAACATAGGGAAAACTTGAGTCCCTAATTGACGGTGTTGTAGGTAGATGTTGGTAAGGCGTGATCCTCTTCATCCATGTTGTTTTTGAAAAGCCTTTAAGCCAGTTTAAAGGAGACTTATGTGTTGTGTTGTTTTGTAGAATATGCCAAATGATTGGATTTTCGAGAGCCTGGTGCTTCATAATCTTAGATAGAGACATGTTTTCATGAAAAAATGATCTATTCTCCTTTAAAATATGTTGTGAAAATGGTACAAAGTGATCTTCTTTATACTAGATGTTAAATGACAATGTCTAGGTTTTGGGAACTCAACTGTTGAGTTGGTACATAAGTCGAGGGTGGTCTCCTAGGATGCACCCCCACCTAGTGTTGGAAGGGTGAGTGGTATTTTGGTAGAAGATAGTGGGCTAAATCTATAAAGGGTTTGGTTTTGCAGATTAATGTCCTAGTATGCTCATATCGAAGTTGTTTTATACCTGACCTGTAATATGGACCTTCCACATTTACATCAATGATACCTAAGTGACTAAGGCTACTACTGTCTGATAGATTTGAGTCAAGTAAATCACTCGTTGTAGGAAATCTTTGATGTTCGTGCATGATGACACATGGTGTAAGTAGGCACATTGTTGTTTTGTGATGTATGCATGTCATGGCATACAATGATGTGTTGTGATGTGGTTTTGCATGGATCTTTATTATGAGATTGCTATGATGTTATAAGCATTGAGGCTTGATGGTGTATGATTTGCCTAATGATATATGCACTGTAGTATTGTTGATACCTTGTGTTCTTTTTTATAAAACTTACCATGTTGTTTGTGTTGAATATAATGATCGTCATTGACATGATAACATACTAGGTATAGCTTGAGGAGAGTGGCTTGGAGTTATTATGGGCCATCTTAAGTGATTGAACCTAGAGATAGATGATATCTTGTCTTTTGTAGTTGTAAGATAGAATCAACTATGTTTTATAGTTGATGTACATGTATATACATTTGAATATTTTAGGATTGTAATCTCAAAAGGGATTTTTATTTTTTTGTTTGACGACTAGAAACTATTTTATTGTTTTTGTCTTGGTTGATTGTTGAGATTTCCATTATATACAAGTTTTGTACATGCATGATATCCAAGTTTTATGTTGTATAATAAACTTAGGATAAATAATTTTTTTATGTTGTGATGTGTGAAGTGATTTAGTGTTAACATGTCGTTATCAATGTATGGTTTGTCAGGTCGTTACAAATTACACCGACATGTTATAAGATTTCACAAAATTACAAGTGAGCTCTAATTTTATTTTATTTTTTTATCTCTACACTAACTCTTTTTAATTGTTTTTTTTTTAAAATAAGATTAACACCTTTTAGACATTAAAATATCACTACCACTAAATTGAAAGTTTCACCTTCTAACATTCATAAAATTAGTAA